GTTTCGGGAATAGTTATTTTAATTTGGGCAACTACGAATGTATTATCAACGAAATATAGTTTACTTAACAGATCTCTTAAAAAAGTGTTATACGAAAGAAGTAATTTAAATCTACAAAATTTTGAAGGACATCTTAGAGATTTGCATATGGCTGCGGCAGCTTTTAATAATATTATTGGCAAAAATATGATGGCATTATTAAGTTTGGCATTTATGGGTGCAATAACCTTTTTGGATTTTTCAGTAGTGCTCGTTAGTTCATCTTCGCTAAATTCATCGAATATTGGTGGAATTGCAGAAGGTACATCGCAAAGTATCTTGTTTGTAGTAAGTATCTAGAAATAATAAAAATATCACCGCCAGGTGAAGTAGGTGAAGGAGAGGTTCACCAAAAAAATATAATAACATTGAGACAAATAAATAAAAAACAAAAGCAACATTATTATATCTAAATTCTGAAATTAATTATTTATTCTATTTTAATTAATATAAAAATTAAAAAAGACAACTGGCTTTATTAGCGGTAGGTACTTGACGGTCAAGTTCTGACCTGTGTCACAAGCCGTGTATGATTCAGGAATAGGTGAACATCATTTTTGAAATGCGAAGTCCGTCTGCATAAGCGTTCACGGTTGTCATGGCAACGTGACGTCAGCCTGTCGTTAGTGATAGCTGATAAAACTGGGAAGTCCAGATCCATTTAAAAATAATTTATCCGTCTTCACTTATCCGCTATTATAGTTGGTGTGTATGTAGGATTTGTATTTCTAAGAAATTTCTCTCAGCGACAATATTTTGAAATTTAGTCTATTATAAAGATATTTTTTATATATTATAGTATATTATAGTATTTATTAGTTTAGTTTAGTCACAGTATTAAGTTATTGCAAAGAAATGACTTCATTTTCATAAAAGTAGATTTATTCATTGCTATTCTACGTTTTATTTCTATGTCTGGATCTAGTTGGTCCGTTATCACAGTTCCCAAATATGTCATTTTGTGAACTTACTCAACTTGGACTCCGTTCAATTGAAGCTTTGCATCGGGATGTGGGTCACGACTAAACACTAATCATTTATCTACCTGCCTCTAATTTCAGTAATTGTACTATTTAGAATATTAATGTTTACAATAATAAAACTAACACTAAGAAAAATTAAACTTCGAATAAAGTTAATGAAAGCTGAAAAAATTGTTGTTTATCGTTAACTTAATTCAAATTGAAACTAAGATATCTTTATATCTGAAAAGTACGGTCGACGGAAAAGTTTTATAACGAAACCGTGAATTAAAATGGCGATTAACAATCTCGAACATTAACGCGCTTGCTCCGCTAACGCGTTAAAATATCTACACTTGTTGGTTAAATAACTATTAATACAATATAATTTTTTTAAAAAGTAAAATACAAATAATAAAATAACTTTCTTTTATTTCAAAAATAATTGAATTTTAAAAATACAGAAAACATATATGCAGCTTCGCGTTAGTGTACTCTACCACCTTTCTCGAAAATGCATTAATAAAATTAAAATATTACAATTTTATTAATAATTATTATAAACTCATACAGTAATACAATTAAAAGTCCATTAAAATTATTTTAAGGATATATTTATCGACCAGTTTATATTATTGTCTATTTCTTTAGTCCAAGCTCAAAATGAATATACAGAACGAGTGATATCTCGTTTTTCAAATATATTTACAAATGGGGACAAATTTTGGGAATCTTTCCGTTACATTCATCTCCCTATTTAAAACTTTGTTATTTGGGAGTTAATATTGTATTACTCGCAATTGGTGTAGTAGCCTTACTTGAAGAGCACATGAAACAAAAGCAAGAATTGAAACTAAAACTGACAGAAATGCTGTTATCTGCATGTAATTCGTTAGCTTTTCTGTGCTTAAGTGTTACATGTATTTATGGTTTTATTAAACATTCATTATACTTGCAGATAATTTTTCAGAATATTGAAGAAGTTAACATGATATCCCAAAGCTTAAAGTTAAGTTTATTTGCATTATTTGTCGTGCTCTGTCATGCATTTTTAATCTTTAAAATACCCCTTCAAGAATTGTTTCAACTCAGGACAGCATTAGTATATCTATTTTTGAGCTGGATGCTGGTTCAAGTACTCTTTGTTACAATGATGATTTGGCAAATTACTAATATCTTCTCAAAAAGATACAATATTCTTAATGAATTTATTAAATTTGAATTTAGTAAAAAAGATCGCAAACTAATTTTTCCCAGAAAACTAGCTGAATTTCAAGTGCATTTATCTAGTATGCACCAATCCGTTCTTGCTTTTAACGTTATATTTGGAAATATGATTTTGGCGTTATTAATTCTGCTGTTTTGGACAATTGTGACCATTTTCAACTATCTCATTTTTATTTTTAAGTCAGATTTCCCGGAAATTGTAAGCATTGTGGCTTGTTTGAAAAATTTACCTCAAGATATTATGCTGTTAGTAAGTACCTACATTATTTAAAAAATATTTTCCAGAGTTTAAAGCATTTTTATACATATATTATAAGTCAGGTTCTATCGGTCTGTAATTAAAACAATTCTATTTTCTAGTCACTTCGCTATTTATTTTGCCAACTGATTGTTGGCTTCATCAGAAGTGCACTACAAATTTATTAAAACAAAGAGATAAGCAACATTAAGATCAAATTACATAAATAATTGATGGATTCGACCGTTATTTGCTGAAAATTCATTTTATGTTTACTTTGTTTTCAAACTTCCACAAAATTTATTTTAAACTCTTATCACTACAGCTGTAGTGATTGCCTTTCTAAAGTGATCTATGTTTGGCATGCGTTTACACTTTATAGTCTCTAATGAAATAGGTTGAGGAGGGGAGAACTGTTTGTCTCAAGTTTTTAATTTATTGATTTCCATAGATGTCAAAGATAGCTTAAGGCCTTTATTTTGAATGTAAAGAATTTTAAATTCGTCAATAAAAGAATCCACCTGCAGATAAAGTTAATAAATAATTAGTTTACTTTCAACATAAAACAACCATACTGGTGAAACGACCTGCTTAAAAATCTGAGGAGAAATTGCATGAGAGTAAGAAGTTAAGAAGAGTACAAGCAGGAGATTTGGAAGAGAGAATAAATGAATTAAAGCGAATGCAGAATAAATACAGGAATGCGATAAGAAGATCTAAGAAAGAAAGGTCGAGTAACCCGCTTGAGGATCTCGAAAAGGATATCTGGCGGCAGGGCTTCAAGATTGTCTGTACCGAATTTAAGGCGAAAAAGACACCCTACCCCTTGCCGAAGAGGAGAAACTCCGTCTAATACGGGAACTCTTTTCTCAGGTGGAGGATAGACGTGAAAGTATTATTAATTTCGTAAATGTGGAACCTTTTACTGAGTTGGACGGATGAAGATCCGAAAAGCCCCTGGCATAGATGGAGTCATGCCGCAGATAGTAAGACTCGCCGCACCAATATACCCGCAGGGTTTTTTGCAGAAAGGAATGGAAAAGAGGTGTGACTTCGGCCAATTTACCTTCTTAGTTCGATAGCTAAATTGTATGAACAGATTGTAAAAGGCTACCTTGAGCGAGAGCTAGAAGAAAAACGTGCGCTGAACGACCGTCAATGTGGTTTTAGGGCCAAGAGGTCCACCACAGATGCGGTCACAGAAGTAACATTTTTAGTTACGCAGGATACACAGAGATAAATTGCTCTCATTTAGCTTGACGCCAAGAATGCCTTTAATACGGCATCATGGAAAAAATCATGTCCAGGCTGAGAGATTTGGGCGACAGATACTTTACTGACAGGTCCATAAGAGAAAAAGATATCAGCATCAGTTTGTCGCAGAGTGTTCGCAGGGTTCAGTACTAGGTCTCATCCTGAGGAATGTCCTGTACGCGGTGTTGAGCCTACAGATGCCACTCTTGTAGTTTATGCCGATGATCTCGCACTGGTTGGGAAGGCGAGTCAGAAAACGGACATGGCTAATGTGGCTAACACAGCCCTGCGTCGCATTAGTAGGTGGATAAGGGAGAACAATCTACAGCTGGCGCCTCAGAAAACTGAGGTGTTAGTTCTCAAAGGGAGTCGGGAAAAATCCTCTGTTTGCTTTATAGTGAAAGGTGTGGAGGTTGCACCGGTTAACATTGCAAACATTGGAGGCCCAGGTATCACTAAAAGAAAGGTGCTAAATGGAGTTTTCCGGTCAATAGTAACCTACGCTGCCCCGTGTAGTGTAGCGTAATAAATACTGCTAAATACGCTAAGCTGATGGAGACTTTGCAAAGTCGAATGCTCGTCAGGGTATCTAGCGCATATGGGATAGTTTCAAATAAGGTTCTGTATGTTATTGGAGCGGTGATACCGATCGTTTTGTGGTGCAAAAAGTGAGGATGTATGCGAGGAGGATGGATGTAAATATAAATGAGAATGAGATGAAAAGAACGATAACAGAGAGACAAGGAGAATGGGCGAATAATTCCCGATTTGAGACCATGGTGGGAATGTAAGTTTAGGAAACTATACTACTTTCTGACGCAGTTTCTGACCGGACATGGTAATTTTGGCACCTTCACAAATAGAATATGCAAATTTGCCAGTGTACTTCTCTGTTTGGGGTGACGAAGAAAAAGGAGCAGGAGGACAGAAGAGGAAATTGAACCAGAAGTCTTAAATTTATGGTTAATATTATTTATTAGTTTATGGCCTAACGTCTAAAACATTTTCTGAATTACGGTAAGAGGTATGGTTATTTATAAATGTTTAGTTGTTCATTGAGTGGCAAGACCACCTCTCTGGAATGGTGGTAAGGTTTTAGCCGGAACACCGGTAATCCTGCATTACCCTGGGGTCTTGTGACCTAGTATCCTAGATACTTGGCCGAAAGATGTCAAGGTGTCTCGTTCCGTGATGTTGATGTTCAAAAAAGATTTCCCCCACCGTTGCCTGTCAGAATTCAATAGATATCTTCTTGGGCACTGGTATTTGGCAATATGGCAATTCAAAAAAAGTTTACTTTTAACAACAATACTAGTAAAATAAAACAGGTTCCCCTGTTTTCCTGTTTATCGACACGATATGAATAGATATAAATAGTCACAAAAACGAATAGAAATATGGACCAGTTTTTTTTAAGCTTTTTTATGAATTTCTTTCAGATATTCAAAGTAATTTATCATGCAGCCTATTGTCTTTTAATTTCTGCAGACTTTTTGGTTTTTGTCTTGGTTATATGTAATTTTAGAAGGTTACCAGACGTATCCCTACTTTTACAAGACAAGTAATGAGTTTTTTTATGAC